ACATGTTATACAGGGTGCGGTAATCAGGTAATCCCTCCCATCATTGGAATCCTTATAGTGAGTCCAGTAAACTCATCGATATTTTTCTCGCTATTCATGGATTGATGATGATTGATGACCATCCCGCATCCATCCCCCATACAGCTATACAATCTAGCTTTTGCCCATGGCACCTATGACGCATGTGTAGAAATAAATCAGGGGCTACACATTTTTTCAACCTGCCGCAACGGGAGATTTGGGCATAATCCTTGGAAGCCACAAGCTTAACGGTGCCATGGAGCACCTTGCCAACATGTCTGCATACACGATACAGCATAGAATTGAGGTTGCTGACATTTTACATCTTGAGCACATACTCTTGGGAACATGGTCGTATCACGGCCACGGAAAGGGAAAATGAGCTTTTAGACCATGGATTTTCAAGGGGTGTCCGAACATGTTCAAACAAACCCTTATTGACCCATCCGGATACTTATTGGGATATCTAATAATTGGGATAATATGAATAATCATGAAGAATCATGTTAACATCAGGATACTTAACGGGATTTTACCATTTGTCAATTTTCTTTGATTATTCATACAATGTGAGGCCCCCAGATGGCTAAGTTGGTTTATAAATCCAATAACTATGGTATAACTATGGTTTATGGTACTTATAACTATAGTTACTGGGGCTTATAAACCAACAAACATCACTGGGGGGCCTCACATTGACAGGATATTCACCTGGGCTTCTGAGACGTCATGGGGGATCCCTAGGCCACCATCGGGTTTCAATACTAAGTCATGTTATGACGACTGGATGATGACTGTGGTACCCCGATTTTTTTTCGGAAACCTCCACCTAGTGACCGTTAGTGACCTAAAAAAGTTCTTAATGAATGTTCTTAATTAATGTTCTTAATTCTTAATCTTAATCCCACCTATATAGTGACCTAAAAAAGTTCAGAAAATATGTTCAACAGAAGTTCTTAATCAATCCACAAATCCACTATTGACTGAGTGGCTGGCACGTCTGACTTCGTCAAACTCAAGCCTCACCGCGGCCCGGAAAAAAAAACAGCCCTGATGTCTCCTGGAAAGCCATCCAGCTGCGCGGCTGGCGTTGATTCTGACTGTAGGACGGCTAGGTCAATAAACATTGAACTGCTGGAGGTCAATAAACTTGGTATCATTGAGTGGTACAGTATTTTCCATTATAAACCATCATAATATATAATAGTATACGTATACATATATATATATATATTACTTACTTGGTGGTTGAGTGGTTGAGTGGTTGAGCCGTCCTGAATGCGCTGTCCATTGGGTATCATCATCCCATTGTTGCATGGGAAATGCACCGTATTTCAAACCACCAATTAGGAAAACCTTTGGGTTTGGTGCCTAAAACTGCTGGGAAACCCCTCCATCCGCGGGCAAAAATGATCACAACAGCAGGGATGTCTGCAACCGATCGAACATACAGAAACGAAAAAATACGACAAAATGGTTCAAAATTCTTCAGAATTCCTTTATGTAGTTTTGGATAATGAAAATTTATTGGATAGTATTGGATAATGTTCCAAAAATGACGAACTACAGATATTATGACCAATTCGAACAATTATTGGATCTTGTTGGATAAGCTACTCAACACCAACTTTCCCCACCTGCCAGACGCAGACACCTCGACCCGAACAATACCCAGGCCTTTGGGGCCTCTGAACACGTCAGGCGAAATAAAATGCCAGAATGCCACCAAAACACGTCAGATAAAAGGTCAAAATACATGTAAAAATACATGTCAGAGTGTCGGAATGTCGAATACTAGATGTCAGATAGAATGTAAAATAATCTGTGCTATTAAACAATTTAAACAGTACGTCATGTATAGAATGCAAGAAAATAACAAATAGAATGTCAGAATATAGGTCTGATAGAATGTCAAATAAACTGTCTGAATATATACCAGAAAGAATGCCAGATACCATGTCAGATAACATGTCAGAATATATGTCAAAAATAATGTAAATAGTGTAAGCAATAAATACAGGTGGTGAAGATCAATCAAAGGAAGTAATTATATATTATGGAGATTTCCTAACATAGGGCTACCTCCAAAATGATGGTTTATAATGGAGAATACCACGATTTCGTGGATGATTTGGGGGTGCGATATATCAGGAAACCTCCATTGCTTTTCCTGGTCCCAAGTTCCACGGTTCAGACCTCCCGGGGACCAACAAATTGAAAAAACGGCAGCATAACCCACCCCCAAGGGGGCTTCATCACCCATGAGTTACCTTTTTTTGAGTTAAAAACCATGTCATGCTTCCATAGAATATATCCTCGTTGATGCTTTCCAGACAAAACCGCTGATGTGTCGGCTGATGTTTCGCGATGGAAAGCTCCTGCGATAGAGTGCCATGGTCAACATATGTATGCGGGATGGTCATCCCTGCATGATTTGGCATTCCTCCTGGTAATATGAATATGAATGGATTGATGACCATCCTATTTTTTAATGAACACATATTAAATCATATGAAAACATATAAATAAATGTCCACTGACATGGCACTTCCCTTTGGGGGGTTGTCCAAAAATGAAGCCCCAAGTCATGGCCACGTCCATGGGGAAAATCATGATGCCTCCATGAGTCGCGAACATCAGCGGCCCCGGGTCCAGGGCGTCAACACGCGATGGCGATGCAAAGGATTCAACATTTGCCGCGACGGCTACGAGGCTCAAGCTATCCAATATTCATATGCAAATTCAGTACCCTCTGGTAAACATACTAACAGTTTGCTATTGAACATGGCTCATTTAGAGTTGATTTACCTATTAAAGATGCTGATGTTCAATAGCTTTTTGTATGTTTACCAGAGGGTACACACACCATCACCACAAGGTCGACTGTAGACTGTACTGCTCGGTGAATCATCCGCCGCCAGGCGGATCGATCCGACTTCTAGTGAGTAGCCTATAGTTAGTTAGTTATACAGTTGTACATATATACTTATAGATAACTATAGATTAAGTATAATATAGTATAATAACTATAGTCATTAACTATACTTATGCTATAATAACTATGAATACAGTGACTATTCTAATGTCCTTGATGTTAAGCTCAAAAACTTGTCGCGTCACCGGTAAAATAAACCAACGCCTTGCACACCTTGCACGCCTTGCCAAGGCGTTACGACTGGGAATCCTCATCCCATTTCGGTTGAAAATAGACATAAAAAAAAAAAATATTCCAACTTTGATATGTCAAATTTCATGATTTGATTATACTATTGGTTGATCATATAGATCATCTATATATCCAAGTTGGTATGTTGGTATGCTTATCTGGTTGGTGCTGCAATAACCATCTTCAAAAATATGAGTTCGTCAATGGGAAGGATGACATCCCATATATTATGGAAAATAAAAAATGTTTGAAACCACCAACCAGACATACATCATACTCAAATTTCATGATTTTAGATGTCAAATTTCATGATTTTCATGACTTGTAGCAACTTTGATATGTCAAATAATGGATGTATGATATTAGATGATGATATTTTAGATGTATGTTGCCCAACTATTTGATGATACTAGATCTATGATTTTATGGCTTTGTCTGAAAAATAGTGTACCCCAAAATCCATTGGATTATCATCATGTTACATGTTCCCCATTAACATAGCCATGCCTATAGGGGTATTCCCCATTGTCTAACCCTCAACACATGGCCGGTCTTGATGTAAGCTGGGGATAGTATACTGCTTGGTGGTTTTAACCATCTTGAAAAATATTAGTCAATGGGAAGGATTATCCCATATATTATGGAAAATAAAAAATGTTTGAAACCAGCAACCAGTATATGTTGGCATACAAGCCAGTTGCTTCCAGTAATTTAACACAACTTCTACAACCACCGTAGATCATTTTCTGTGGACCATGTGTCTTCCAAAAATGCCAGTCAGTCAAAAAACATGCTACGTATATGTGGCATGGTCATCCCCCCACCATTGGGGACTCCGAATCCAATGGGTATCTATGGGTATCTAATGGGTAACTGAATCCCTATGAATTGATTGATGATCCTCCCCTTGTATGAGAAAATTGGAGAAATGAAAAACAATAGCATCCCGTGAAATTTGACCATACTGCATCCCTAAAAAACACCTATCCCTTGCATCGCGATGTTCGTAAAAGGCGGCTGTGTCGCATTCGCGACCCGGCGACTCCAACGTGAAAATATTCGCAGACTCCACCCGCTGCCGGCGATGATGGATTCAATGGACTGATTTGCCTGGGAAATCTACACGAAAACATACGAACACGCTTTGGTTTTGAGAATAGAATGGCAAAAAAGTGTGGTGTTTCTCAGCAAAAAGTAGCAAATGTTCTCTTCATGCCATTCTGGATCTGAACCGCAAAGCTTTGTAAAAAACCAAAACGAGGCCTGTTACTTTCAAGGTGAAGGACTGTCTGGTGTCTTTTCCAATATGTCAGTGTCAAGCGTCACTTCTGCGGTCAGAACTGAGGTGGTGCGTGTTGAACTGCTAAGCAGTTTTCCGCCCAGAATTGGTGAAGCTTCACTGGACGGCTGATGCTTGAACTCGCCAAAAAATGAGTTGCTCGTCTTACAATCATACCCAGACCAAAGAGTTGCTCGTCTTTAGCATGCTGATAGATAGATAGATAGATAGATAGATAGATAGATAGATAGAGAGAGAGATAGATAGATAGATAGAGATAGAGATAGAGATAGAGATACAGATACAGATACAGATACAGATCCAGTGCATATATATATACACATAAGAACAATATATATATACAATATAAACAATATAAACAATATAAATGATATAAACAATAACAATTATAATGATAATTGAAGTATTCCCATATTAAAGTGAATATTATATACCTACCAGCAACAGCTATCCATGTTATCCATTGGCATCACCTCAGGGTTCCCAAGAACTTGGCCCCTTTTAAAGGCGACCTCACATCTGTACGGCCTCGGAAGCTGCGATGTCACAACGGGTCATCCATCGACTTTTTTTGATTCAAATCTGGAGTTTTCATGATACTGTTGATGGAAGAAATCCAAGAAATCCTGCACCAGTTGATAGATGGTTTATCCCACTATCTATAGGGTTTCAACCATCCTTTTGGTGGTGCAGGATTTCTTCCATCAATCTTTTGATAATATCTTTTGATGATATCTTTTGATAGATAGTTTTGATAGATGATATTGAATCCGATTGAATCTGGTTGCTGGTATACCTACCCTACCCCTCTGAAAAATACATTTTCGTCAGTTGGGATGATGATTCTTCCCAACTGTTTCTGGAAAGTCATAATCCAGTCATGTTCCAAACCACCAACCAGGAATCCTATTGAGTCCGTTTTTGAGTCAATGATCCCCCGTAAAAAAATAAGACCCTGGACGCGGGGGGCGCCCACTTTATAAAGAATTCCTTATAAATGGCAATTCTCAAAAAAAACAAGTTATAAAATGGGAATCACGACAAGTAATATCTATGACCTTTTGCAGCACGGCATTTTATTTTGGACGCAGTTGAAAATGGCAGTTGAAATCAACAAAAATCGTCAGTTGAAAACCTTATTTTTTGACAGTTCTTGTGACCCATCAAGACCCATCGTTTTAATCATCTGGTAAAGGGTACATTTTTGTTCACAAGGAATTTAATGGTTTTGATTGGAATTGCCCCTTTTTTATACGATTTTAAGGTCATTTTATAAGAAAAAACATGAAAAAACTTTGGAATGCCAAATTTATCCGGGTATGTTTGTTCTCAGTGTTTGCTGGTAATACCGCAATTTTCAAAAGAAAAGGACACACTGAAAATAAGGTATACCTTATAAAATGATAAACAATCCGAAGTGAAAATGATTTCTTGCACGCATGCAGGTAGCTTAAAAAACCTTATAAAATGGAAATTGGTTTCTGAGGAATAATAAACAAAATATAATAAACCGTAATAACATGGAAGATCAACAGTTTGATCCTTATAACATGACACATCCAAGTCATGTTTTCTGTTAGAACCTGGGGGGCGGTCTCCCTCGATATGCTCAATGCCTGTTGAATGTCATGTTATAAGGAATATAATAGTTTTGCCATGGTTTTCAAAATTGAGTTTAAAAGTTTCTTATAAAATGTGAGTTATAGTTATAGACTCCAACGTTTATCATTGTATAAGAGGTACCTGCTCCAACTCTTATGAAATACGTTTACTATGTCAGTTAGACAGATATAAAACGTAATTGTTATTAATAAACTAATAATTGTGACCCCCGGGTCTGTTTTTCTTACAGACTAATGAATTATCATTTTATAAAGGGACAAGTTCATAGAATGATAATTGTATTCCCCTTTCAGGGTACCTGAGGGGCACCCACTTTTGAAAATCCTGATTTTTTGGAAAAACTGGGATCCTTATCAAATGACCCCGAAAAGCGCCCCCGGGGGGCGCCCACTTTATAAAGAATATTAAGAGGGGGATAGTCAATGTATCTACTTGTTCTGTGATCAAAATGGGAAATCAAAATGTTGTTCTAAGGACTTGAAGGGTGTGGCCCAAAGACAGGATCTCACAAGAATTGAATAGCTGGAATCACCAGCATTGCTCGAGTGCAATTGTTTTTGACTCTGTCCTTACAATCGTCCAGTCATAGCTGGTCATCTTTACGTAGCTCATCATCCTGCTTTAGACATTTCTGGCCAGCATCTTCCGAATGCTTGGATGTCCAATGATCGGTCTCCCATGTCGTTGCACATATCAAACCGTTGTCGCAACATCTTCATCCACATTCTGTATGCTATGTGAAAAAACGATATCGTAGGAAACATCACCAGTTGGTCAGAAGGGCTGCACGATGAAACGGTCCAAACGCCCATCCCATTTGTATCTGCAGAAATCAACTCGCTAAAGATTCGCGGATTTGTCTGTCCATACCTCAAGAAATTGACCGATTTCTACAGATCACGTAGTCACTCCGAGTCTGCCTTGAGGTGAAATGAGTCACTCTAACATCAAACAAACTGGTTGATAGGGGTTGCCATCTTGGATTGGTAAGGATTGGTTCTCTACACATAAAAGGCATCGTTAAACCAGTTCGGGGTTTGTCTTGGGGTACTCCATTCCATCCAAACCTTTTTCAGGCCTCATGTCATGAAATCTGGGTAAATTATAATATTTCACTAACCTGAATTAAGGCCATTTGGGGATGATTTCCCTTATAAGCCATGATTCCAGTGAGGTCGCAGTGAGGTCGTTATAATTTACCCAGATGAAATTGCCAAAAAAAAAATCCCACCACCTTCCGGAGAATCCCGGGCCCTCCACAGCACCAGAAAAAGGACAGCCCAGGTCCCCCCACGGATTTGGCCACCAGCGTCAAGCAATCCCAGGCACCCGGGAGGGCCTCACAAGTTACCCTCAAGGACCCACAAATTCTCTGGTTGGTGGTATACCTACCCCTCTGAAAAATATGAGTTCGTCAGTTGGGATGATGATTCTTCCCAATATGAATGGAAAGTCATAATCCAAATGTTCCAAACCACCAACCAGTTCTGTAATGTTTCCTTCTCAACCAGCCAATTTCAACAGATCCTCACCATTCCTCACGTCGCTGAGGGATCCAGAAGGACGGCCAAATTATCGATATCTCGCTGCAGTGCAGATACCGGTTTTGCCCAGTTGTGTGGGTTTTGTTTACTAAGCAATGGGATCGCGGTTTTCCGGAAAGTGGGGCACCCATTTTTTCTGCCAAAACCAGCACATCTCCCAAGTAGATCCCAGTAGAACGTTGGATTTGAAGCATCTTTGCCATGGCACCTGTCAGAGATGTGGGTCCCAGTTCTCTAGTTCACGTCCCTAAACGGGCACCACCGTGTGTGTGTGTGTGTGGTGTGTGTGTGTTGTGTGTGTGTTGTGTGTGTGTGTGTTGTGTGTGTGTTGTGTGTGTGTTGTG